AGAGAGGAGAGAGAGAGAGGAGAGAGAGAGAGAGAGGAGAGAGAGAGGGGAGAGAGAGAGAGAGAGAGAGAGAATTAAGCTAAAACAGAGGAATTTGAAAAGTAGCCTGATCAATTTTTATATGGTTGTAACATACACATACAGTATACTACCGTATAAAACCTGTGGGTAAATCCTGGTTTATGAAGTTGTCACATATGAGGCACTATCACTGTTTTATTCAGGTGAACAGATTTGAATCCTTTCAGAGAAAAATGTATATAAACCTTAAGAGCATGTTTTAATTAAGAGGAGTATTTTATATCATGGCCAGCAGGTTTCCCTCATACAATAAATTGACTTCAGGAAAAAAAGGTTGTTGTGTTAAGTTTCCCTATATTCTCTGGAATTTAGTGATAGGTGAATATTTTCTGGGTCAGTCTTAAAATAATTCACTTTGAAAATTAGTTCTTTTTTGTTTTGTAGGTATAATTGTTTTAAAAAAAACAACAAAACATAATATTATAATTGTTATAACTGTAAATGTGTAACTGTAATGTCTTCCTTATGGTAAAGCACTGTGCAAACTGCATACATCCTATAATAATAATAATAATAACAAAAACAACAACAATAATAATAATAATTAGTAAATAAGAAGAATAGGAAAAAGCAGTCGAAGAACAACAGCATACATGAATACACATTTCCTCCTGTTTAGGATGGTACATTACCAAATTGGTTCTGGACCACACCGGGTTATGGGGGGGGGTTTTTTGCATTTGAGAGAGGCTTCTTGTTGCTAATGCTATGAGAGAGATCCTAACCTTTATTTGGATGACATCTATATCCTGACATAATACTAACTTCCTCTGAAGAAGCTGACTTTAACAAAACCTGTCAAAAAAATTGCATTCAAACTGTAGTAATCATCTGCAAAAGTTTTTCATGTTGAAAATCTATATGTCTTATAGACAATGCTGATTGATAAATGTTGACAATATTTTATTTCAGAAGGAATGGTCTCTTTGCACCACGCAACCAAGTTGTTGGGCTTTTTGTTTTGTTTTTATTTTTTTTAATTCTTTTAATGATTTTGTTAAATAAAATGTAACTAAGTGGTTTTTATGACAAAATAACTGATTGGATTAATTCGTAAAAGTTAGATACCATTTAAGTCCCCATTCTTGTGCTAAGAGAAAAATAGATTTGTATAAATAATGAAATTACATTGATGTAATGTGTTTTGTGCAATACTTAATTCATCCACTTTTTATGATTAAATACAACTCAGAATGATTTGTTATATTATACATTATATAATAGATATAGAGAAATAATCAGTCTGTCTTTCGATTCAGTTTGTTTTGGCTGAATCATTCACAATTCGTATCA